CCTTCGGACCGTGTCCAGGCCCACTTGTTCTATCCTCTTTGGAATACGGACATCCAGCTTCATTTACTGCCTTCTTCTATCCTGCTAGAAGTTCCAAGGTGCTACAATGGCTAGTTTGATCATGATGCATAAAAGCATAGATATACGTAGAGCATTACCGAAATAGTTTGCACATACAACCACTTAATTACTTATGATGACTTCGGTACTCGTCTTGAACATATATACGTATGAACTTGCCATCAGGTTAAGTCAAGACTTTACGCCTTCTTCTTTTCCTTAAGTACATGTATTCAGTTCAACTTGAAGATGTTTTTTACCCAGTGGGAGCTGCAATTACTGTGGCGATTAACGCTACCACAATTGTTAGAGCAACAGGGAATAAGTTTATGGACTGGCTTTGGCACCAGCACTTTTGGAAGGATAATTATGCTTGTTTGAGGGGGCACAAACAAAATAGGCAGTTAAGCAGAAATGCCGATGCAAATATTACCATCAAAAATACAAGTCGTGATTGTAGTTATCATGAGATAGCAATTTACATTGACACATAAAACTTTATTTAAATCCGGATTGTTATTTTAGTAAATATCGTGCTTGGCTGTAAATGACTACGGTGCATAAAGACCAAATCGAATTCTTACACGTCCATTTTGTTTTAGTCGGCTTTACGGGTCTAGCACTCGGTTACGAACAGGTTCTGCTTGCACGCGCATATGGTTGTTTTTGCTTATTCTTTAAACAGTTATGCATCTCCAGTTTGTTTTGTATGCAGCAATATAGCTAGTTTGCGGTAGCACATGTATGCGCGTAGCCTTTGATAAGTAAGGCGTTTTCTCTTCCAGATGGCTGTTCTTCAAAAGGAAATGCGTTTGTTTGGTAAATGGCAGTCGGATAACATTAATTTTTCCGAGTTCGGTTTGGTTGACCACATCCAAATCAAGGCTCAACATCCGCTTCTCCCTCACACTGCGGGACGCTATCAAGTTAAGCGATTTCGCAAGTCTCTATGCCCTATAGTTGAGCGTGTCTGTAACTCGCTCATGATGCATGGCCGCAACAATGGGAAGAAGATCAAGGCCCTTAATATTCTCAAGCATACCTTTGAGATCATTCACATTCTTACTAACGAGGTAGGTTGGAGGTGGATTGGGTTACTTACGAAGTCAGAGTTTCCATTTCTTTTATCTTGTCCCACTAGAATCCCATTCAGGTTCTCGTGAATGCCATTATTAATAGCGGAGCTCGTGAGGACTCTACTCGTATCGGACGTGGTGGCACGGTGCGTCGTCAGGCTGTTGATGTGTCTCCTCTGCGGCGCGTCAACCAGGCTATTCACCTCTTATGTACTGGTGCTAGGGAAGCTGCTTTTCGAAATGTGAAGACCATCTCTGAATGCTTGGCTGACGAGCTTATCAATGCTTCCAAGGGCAGTTCGAACTCTTATGCCATTAAGAAGAAGGACGAACTGGAGCGTGTAGCTAAGTCAAACCGATAAGGACCATGTTTGTATCTGCAAATGTTCTTGTTGAAGCACAGGGGATCCTTCATAAATATCTTTGAAGATGGGTAGTTGAGTTTACTCCATTCTGTTGCCCACATTGGATAAGTAGGCAGCTTGGCTTGTTCATTTTCGAGTGCGCAGCCTCATTCGTTCATTTTATCTGTTTGGACCAGTAGGCCGTGGGGCAGGGGTGCTTGGAGTTAACATTAGTTTGAGCTATCTATGGTCGGTGTCTT